AAAGTGGAGCTGACTAAATCTTTCCAAAGGTCTCAGAAAATCCAGGGCCTCATTCTGGGAAGAAACTGCTTACTGAGGCAGAACCGAGCGAGTGGAGACATATGGAATACATTTTCGAGCAAGGGCCCCAAGTCAAATAATATAAACGAGTCCAAGAAACAGCAGTACATTTTAACAAAGAAAGTTGAGATCACAAGATGCAGCGATAAAGCTAATAAAAGGAACTGAGATAACCAGATAAGAGTGACTCTTGGGTCAAACCGTCCATCCGTGCCTAGGTATTTCTTTCTTTTTTATCATGGCTTACTGTAGTTTGAAGTGTCTTCAAACATATAAATGAGTCCCTTGGGCCTTAGCAAGCTCTTGGTGTTACCTGAGGCTTCTGAGTATGATTAGGAATGTTCTATGCATCCAGCCTGGCTCTCCTAGCGTGCTAGAAAATGGTCCCTGCGACCAGGTGGCAGGTGGAGGAGTCACCGTGTGCAACCATGTCTCCTGGTACCTCGTTTAGGACGACATCAGGCAACGAGGCAGGATGGTGGCCAAGCAGGAGAGGTACGTGGAAGGCTCTTCCAACTCTAGCCATGGTGACAATATATAGAAGAAAGGGGCGATTTAAAGATCACCACCTATTCCCCAAACCATTACGTTCCTAGCACTGTGCCCCTTTACATATTTGTTACATAAACGAGAGGCTGTGGTTGCCAACGTTTGCCTTCAAGTTGTTAGTCAGCTGCTGACCTCATAATCTGCACAGCTGCGGCATTCTGATATGTTGTCATGAAACAGATTGTGATGTCTTAATTGATCACTTTCAGAGGTTACAATTGTCAAGTGAAACCAGTTTGCTGATTCTTATTAAATTAAGGCTTGTTACAGCACAACCAGCTAATTCACTCAACGACTAGGAAATCTGATGCAGATTTGTAGATTAGAGCACATCCGAGGCTCTATCTCTTTTTTATTATTATTATTTTTTTTAATTTGTGGAGGCCATACCCAAAAATGCTTTTATTATACAGTGAAGCAACTTCTTGGAACAGAAAATGGAATGTAACCTCCCTGTACCATATGCAACTTGGTGATAAGTTGGAGTGTGCCATATGACACACACAGTTTAAATCAGGCATTGATTTGCATGACTCTAAGTGGGTTTGGAGGACTTAGCTAAGTGTAATGTATGTTGGCCCTGCTGCAAATCGTTCGGCAAGAAAAATACCGTGTTCTTCCTTATTGCCCTGAAAAACCGTAGGCTCCTAGATGCGTGAAGGTCTTAGATCACTATCCCATCCCAAGAGGCATCCTCTTACACCCCCATCTGACCACCAAGGAAGTCTTCACTATGGCATCACCCCATTTCCAAGTGCCCTAATATGCTCACGCACCTCGAGCAGACCTATTCTGACCTGCTGTTCAGAAATCTTATTGTAGCAGGGGTGATGGACAGTCCTTTTGATAGTGGAGTTTTAAGTCACTTCATAAATGGTGACACCTCAGTGGCACGTCCAGTCCATACCTGAGCCTATGTTGTTTAATGTCCGGCCCTGTTCAAACCCTGCGTGATTCTAACAGCTCAATAACTCTCTTTTTATACAGGGGGGAAAAAGACACCTCATAAGTGGACTTTTGTTTACTTAACAAGTCAAGTTTTTTCAAAATCCTTCTTTTTAACATTGAACGGGAACGTTTGTCCATCTAGCATATTTCACAGGTGCACAATAAAAACTAAAAGAAGTAAAGCTAGATTAACCTAGTAACTGCTAGCATCCAAAATGCAGTGGGAAAGACAAGGATGTTGATTAAATCAATTTTTATAACAGAACAAAATCAGATAATAGCCAGATGCCCAGCAGAAGGCAAGTAGGTACATTATGGTATGTCCACATAATGGAATATTGAATCAGCATTAAAAGTATCTCTAAGGAGAGGTGCCTGGGTGGCTCAGTTGGTTAATAAGTGTCTGACTCTTGGTTTTGGTTCAGGTCACGATTCCTGGGTCCTGGGATTGAGCCCCACCTTGCACTCTGGGCTCAGGGGGAGTCTGCTTAAAATTTTTCTTCTCATTCTGCCCCTTTTCTACAAAACAAATAAATAAAACTTTAAAAAATACATCTCTAAGGACTGTTTGCATGGCACAGGAAATTTTAATGATGTGAAATTAATTGGAAAACCAAGGTTGCTAAATTTTGTAAATAGTTATTTCTTAACCTGTCTAATATATCTAGAAGGAGGAAAATACCATGAAATATTGTTGTCAAATGGTGGAAATATGGAGAGTTTTAATTTTTTGATCTATTTTTTTTCAAGTTTTCCACAATGAGCTCATATTACTTCAGTAATCGGGGTGGGGGGGGCAGTGGTTTAAAGCAGTTTGAGTGGTTTTGTTATAACATTAGCTATGGGAGGTCCGTGTTCAAGGCATTTCTAATCTAACAGATCTGGAAATGAGCTGGCTTTCCTCTGCTGATCCTGCTCTTCCTAAAGCCTTTGCCTTCTCATTTAAAGTCAGGTCCAGTCTTCCAGTTGCTTAGACTAAGAATTTGAAGTTTTCCATAATTCCTCCCTGTATCTCAGGTCCCATAGTCCATCATACTAGTCAACCCAACAGGCTTTGCCTTCAGAATTTGTTCAGCGTGTGGGCAGCATCTTGCTACCTCTTCTGCTACCCAACCATCATCTCTTGTCATGATTGTGGCAGTAGTCTGTTTGGGTTTCTACCCATTTCCCTTTTGTCAGTTTTCCCCACAGCAGCCAATGCTGTTAAAATATAACACAGATCAGCCATTTCCCTATTCAGAGCCTTCCGAAGGTCCCTGAGTAAAGGAGCCTATGAGATGTCTCTCTGGTCATCTCTCTGACTCCAGTACCCACTGGCTCTCCTCAATCAATGCTCTCCCAGGTCACACTGCGTCCCTGTGTTCCTCTCCTACCATGGGATGTTTGCAGTGGCTTTTGGTTTTGCTTTGCAGAAATATGCACCCACGCCCCCCACCCTCCGCCCCGCCCCAAGTCCCCATTGCCAGCCCTCTTACTTTCTTCAAGTCTTCCCTCACATACCATTCCCCACTCCTCCCAGGCCTTCTCTGATCACTCCACCAACACACACACACATGCACACACATGCTTCCTTACCTCCTTCCTTGCTTTAATTTTCTCTATTTAACACCTATCTTCATCTAACATTTTTATATACTATGCTGATTTATTAATTGCCTTTTCCCCCCTCAGTGGAATGTAAGATCTATGAGGTCAGGGGTTTTTGCTTAAAACTTTCACAGCTGAATAATCCCCAACCCCAAGAACACGGCGCATTATTGTTGCTCAATAACTACTTTGGATTCCTCCCATTGATAGGAAAGACATCTTGCTACAGTTGGGTGTTAATTATACAAGTGACTTTTCTGAGGTACTTTACTTCTCCATTTACCCACCTAAATTGAACCTGTTTGTATATTGATAGGTTTCTTTCAGATTGTGTTTCTCTTTCATCTAAATCAACAGTTCTCAACAAATTTGGGAAAGGCTATGTCTTCCCTAATACTAAGTTCAGTGTTCAGGCTCTTATAATTATTTTAATTCGATTGCTCTCATCTCCTAACTAAACCACTATATCCTGGGCTCCTATAGTAATCCAAGGACTTCTGGGAAATGGGATTAAAATGAAAAAGACAGACATTGATTCTTACAGAGTTTACTCTATAGGAGAAAGACACAATTAAACAATAAAATACAACATAACTAATAAAATGAGAGCAGTACCCAGTGTGAGAAGAACCAATGACCAATAGGCACAATAAAAATAGAGGATTGAATGTCAGATACAAAATGTGAAATCTCATAGAAGGAAGATGAGAAAGATATATATCAACAGAGTTCATCACTCCTTTATCACTGTTTTAAAAGATAAAGTGGCTTTTATCATGTAGGAGGAAAGTGGCAAAAGGAATTTATTTGGTTCTCCTGGGAGGAAGGAATGCAGGGAAAATGGAAAGAGGAATGGGTTTAGAGTTACCAGATCTAGATTTCAATCTATCATCTGCAAGTTGTGAGAGCTGGTGCTTACCCTCTGTGAGTCTCTGTTACCTTATCGGTTTAAGACAAGAGGGAGGTGGTTAGACCAGCACTAGAGATTATCTCTGCACATCCCTTCCCGTAGTTCTTAAAAGAAGCCTTTCCATACCCATCTAAAATAGACATAAACACAAAGGCCAGTTAACATGGTGACACGGGGAATTTTTTAAGGATTTTTATAAAAGTTTTGCCAGCCTGAGACTTGTCTTAAATAGTTCTTGTCTGAAAAAGATTTTCAGAACCTTGTGATTTGCTGAATTTTTCATAGTTTCATCAACTGCTACATATTTATTCATACATATAAGTAAAATACGGAATTGATGCCTGGATATATTCCTTTTGCATTTCTTTTTTTAGCCACCATCCTTATTAAAGATATCAAATCTTTCCCTATTGCCTTATTTCATTTGAAATTATGGTTTTGAATGAAAAGTCATTATTTAGAATGGAAAACAAATGACTATTTTTTCCATTTAATTTTAGACGAACACAAGGGGATAGAAATTAAAATTATTTCTTTTTTTTAAAGATTTTATTTATTTATTCATGAGAGAGAGAGAGAGAGAGAGAGGCAGAGACACAGGCAGAGGGAGAAGCAGGCTCCGTGCAGGGAGCCCAATGTGGGACTCGATCCCAGTACCCCGGGATCACGCCTTGGGCTGAAGGCAGGCCCTAAACCGCTGAGCCACCCAGGGATCCCCAATTATTTCTTAAAGTCTATATTCACTTTTTAAATGGAAGCATGTCCCTAGCTTGAAAACCTGTGGTAGCTACTGTAGGATTGGTCCATATATTTCAAAAAATCCCACATTCAGCTGCTACATGCAATATGTAATATCTGAATTTCATTTTCTCAGAGGAACTTGTTTAAATAGCTGGGATTCACTAATTTACATGTCTCTCCCCCATCTTATTTCTCTGTTTTTCAGCCTTTGCAACTGGACTGTGACCTTTGCGCCATAGTGTCAAACTCAGGTCAGATGGTTGGCCAGAAGGTGGGCAATGAGATAGATCAGTCATCCTGCATTTGGAGAATGAACAATGCCCCCACCAAGGGCTATGAAGAAGATGTTGGCCGCATGACAATGATTCGAGTTGTGTCCCATACCAGCGTTCCTCTTTTGCTAAAAAACCCTGACTATTTTTTCAAGGAAGCAAATGCTACTATTTATGTCATTTGGGGCCCTTTCCGCAATATGAGGAAAGATGGCAATGGCATCGTTTACAACATGCTGAAAAAGACTGTTGACATCTACCCGAATGCCCAAATTTACGTGACCACAGAGAAGCGCATGAGTTACTGTGATGGCATTTTTAAGAAGGAAACTGGGAAAGACAGGTGAGTCTGCTGAGAGGCAGTCTTGTTGTCTTTTATGCTAGCTCCTTGCTGAGTTCTTTTGCCAGCTATCAAATGAACAGAGTTATTTTTCAAATTGATTGTTTTATGTTTTTTGACTATTATGATTACTTGACGAGCCAGCAACTAGGCCCCATTTATTCCACCTACACTACCTTCTGTTCTCTCCCTTTTGATTGGCTTGAGGATCCAAAAAATACTGGATGCTTCCCCAAGATATCTTTAGATTTGTTCTTATTTAGCTCAATTTGCTATTGGTTAAATTGGATGTTAGCCGAAAGGAAGTCTACACATTTCTGTTTTGAAACAGAAATGTTAAGGAACTTTAGGACCTCAACTCCTTTGGAAGTTATGGTAAAAATTTACCTGAGACAACAAAACTCAACAGGCTATTGATTCTCTAATAAGGCTGTGTAGCTTCTTGCATGAAAACAGGCCCTAAGATCGTGAGCACCATAACTTTGTATCTAACAGATATGTTGGTCTGTTCAGAATACCATATTGAAATTATGCATTACTGAAAATCATTAACAGTGGATTCTTGAAGAGAAATGAGGTATAAATACCATTCACTCAATTATCCAACAAACCAATTTGCATTTTCATTACATTCTTTTTTTTTTCTCAGTAGCCTTCTATAAACCACCCTTCCCACTTCCTTTTCTTGAGGCCTGCTCACCTCGTTTTTCTCCTACTCTTTACATCTCCTATTTCCTCTCTCTGCTCCCTCTTATCCTCTTCATTCTCCCCTATGACCCTACTACCTACCATTTTTTCTTTCTTTTTAGAAAGATAACCAGTATATGGAAGAGAAGTAGATTATTAGTTCATATTTCCAGTTCTGATAAAGAACTGCTGAAGGAAAATATTGAAACCAAATTGCAAAAGTTTTAAGTAATGTGTAAATGGTACTAACTCATATAATACCATGGATAAATTGAGCATTGGCTGTAATTCCAATATTAACAATCAGATTTCCTCAAAATGTATGTCTTTCACTCTTCAATATCATCAAACCTAAAATTTTAACTACATTGGGGTATGTGCTTGTGGGGGGAACATTTCTGATATCCGTGGGTGTAATTTGTGTGTTGATAATTATTTTAAAATCTTATCCGGACTAACTCTCCTATTGATAATATAGGCTGAATGTACCATTTTCTAATTCTGATTACTCAAAATGCACAGCATCTAAGGAAATGCAAGACAGGAATCACCATAATGCTGGCCCTTTCTACAGTTAGAGTTCACAAGAAGAATCCCAATGGTTAGATTTGGATCAGTGTGTCATAAGCTGTCCAAAGAGATAGGCAGGAGAGATAAAGGAGTAGGCATGTAGCACAATTCTATATAAATATGACCATCTCAAAGGGTTTGAAAATTTCTGGTCTCTCATTAGCCCAGAGCAAAGCAATTAATTAGATATATTTGGTATTTCATTAGTCATAGTCAGCCCTCAGGGTATCCCCCAGGATTCATTTTCCTACTGGCTGTGATGAGGAAAGCTGTTTGTATGGTGAGGAAAAGCTTTCTTGATAAAATTAATTTGCAGGTATCATTCAGTTGGTAAAGTTACCAAAATAAAAGTAGAGGGGAAAAAAGCCAAATTGATTTTATGATGCTTCCTTCTGTTTTTCTCACCGAGTCTATTCATGTCTGCTTGCATCATGGAGTGCTGCAACCAAACTGAAAAAGACAACTGTGCTAGTGTTTTAGAAATGAACAGAATGGATGGTTTTGGTAAAATCTGGTTGGATGACAAAAGGTTGTCCAAATGACCTCAAATGACTTGTTATCTGCTCTGTGATTTAGATCTGTATCCTAACTTCAGCTGTGTGGATTTTATTGTCAAAGGATTTCCCATAGTGATCTAACATTCATTGCCAAATTTCAAAGAAGAATATTTTTTGACTTTTTATGAAGGAAAATGTCAAAAGTATAAAGTAGAGAAAGTAGTGGTGTAATGAACCTCTGTATACTCACTGTTTGGGATGAATAATTATTAACTCATGGCCAATATTGTTTCATCCATATCCCTATACATTTTCTCCCTCCCCAAGAGTTATTTTTTTTCTCAAGAGTTATTTTGAAGCAAATGCCAGACAACGTATTATTTCATTCATTAACATTTTAGCATGTATCTCTAGAAGATAAAGATTCTTAAAAATAAACACAATGTCATTGTCCTACATAAAACTCAGCAATATTTCTTTAATAACATTTTATTGTTTTCAAATTTTTCCAATAACCCTTTTAATATCTTAAAATTTTAATTCGAATTAGGATTAGCATTAAGAACCATACATTGCTCAAATCAGGATTAATGTGAGCTGTATACATTACAATTAATTGATATGTCTTCTATATTTCTCTTAACCTGTATCTTTCCTTCCTCTATATTATTGAAAAGAAAACTAGTGATTTGTCCAATAGAGTATTCCATAATCTAATTGTCCTAATTGTACCCCCCTGATGTTTTTCGTTCATTGGTATTTCTTATTGGATTCAGGTCATATTGCTTCTTACCAAGACCATTCAGTGATACTTCCTTCAGCGGGAATACTGTCTAGTTTTTTTTTATGTTAGTAATCATTAATGATCATTGTCTAGATCCAATAACTCATTAGAGATTGCAAAATGGTGATATTTCATCATTTTTTCATTTATATCAGCTGAAACTTTATAAGCAGAAACTTACCATCATTAACTATTTTTTTTTAACCAGAGATAAAGATAGTACCAATCCTTTTTTCTTTATCAAGTCTAAGGCACTGGTTTCCTAGCATCCTCCAAAAGTGACCAGTAAGTTTATTATCAATATTTACATATTGACATATTTAACCATATTTGAAATATTTCAACCTATTAGAATTATGCCTTTATGCTCAAAGTGTCCTATTTGTGCTATTGGACCCTCTTCAAATTAGTTTTAGAGTCCTTTTGATGTTGCCTTTGGTAACTTTGGATAGCTTCTTTGATTCCTGTTGTTATAGGATGACTTAGGCTCTTCTTGTACATAGTCTGATGCAAACCTGGATCCAGACATTTCTCCAAAGATCTTCGGTCCTATTAGTATTTAAGACAGCATAATCTTGGTGCTACAGGTGCTCATTTCTACTAGATTTGTCTTTGTTTCCTGGTCCTTTCACTGGACACAGCTAGTATAGAAATGATATATACTCTATATTTTGTTTAAAGGTAAAATCATTATGAGTTTGAACTGAAACTTCCAGTTCAGATTCAAGGCTACCAAGTTTTAATTTTACCTCATGTATGTTACAGGTGTTTCTCATTTTTGCCATATTGGCAATCACAAGTCTAGAGTTTTATCCCACAGTGTACACACAACAATCTTAGAATGACATCACAACCAGCAATATTATTACTGTCAGCATTTTAAGATTATTTTACATCAAAGAAGACATTTTAATGGCAAGCATTCATGTGGGTCCACACTCACAACGGGTGTGTTGGTTGTATCCTAACAGAAATTTTGAATATTTTTCTCCTGGGGCACCTGGGTGGCTCAGTTGGTTAAGCATCCAACTCTTGATTTCAGCTCAGGTCATGATCTCAAGTTTGTGAGATCAAGCTCCATGTGGAGCTCCATGCTCAGGGAGGAGTCTGCTTGGGATTCTTCTTTTTCTCCTTCTCCTAATTCTCTCTGCCCCCTCCCTACTCATGCACTCTCTCTGTCTCTCAAATAAATAAATATGTTAATAAGATATTTAATAAGTAAATATTTTAATAAATCATGAAATTAATAAATAATTACACACACACACACACACACATACATATATACATACTTTTTTTTTCTCCTAAGGGAATAGGAGTATTTCCAGTGGATATACCATTGGTGACATGAGTAAGTAAGGAAAAAAGGACATCCATTTAATTTAACTTTTGCTACTTTGATTGATTTGCCTGAACTTACTAGAACTTTTTAGCAAGTGTTCGTTTTCATCATCAGGTTTTTAATGAAGAAGTTATGTCACCATTAAGATGTATTATTTATAGAATTAAAAAAATTGTGTCTCTAGTAGTTCCAATGAACCATGGTAGGAAAATAACTATATGAACTTTTCTCAAATGAGCTCCTAGGTTGCATCTTCAAACTGTCAAAATCCTTTTAAGAAGTATAAACCCCTCTCCCATTTAAGGCGAGTACCTTTTCAGTTTTTCCAGTGCTTTTCATTGTCTTAAGGAATTCTTCATCGAGGAAACCTGAAGTAGTAAAAGAAATGTATGTAGTGTTAAATTTCTTAGAATGAGCTTAGATCAACTCATAAGCATATTGGAATACTTTTTCAAACCAAATGAAATTTAATTTGCTTTCTTATCAGTTACTGACTAAAATTATTTGGCTTGCCAATTAGAAAGAGTGACCTTGTGGGAACGGCTGAGAGAACAAGAAGAGAAGACAGTTTGTCCTTTCTCCCTTCATCCTCTGGGGCCCAGTATTCTCTGGAATTTTAGGTCTTTGGACAGCAGCACCTTTATATTTTCACTTAACCAGATATTTTTCTGGGAAATAACCTTCAACAAACCAGAAAACATTGGAATGATAGGTCTTATATTCAAAATAATCTGGACCAAAATGGATCTTTCCTCCCCCGCCCTTTGAATGATTGGTATGCATAAATAATATTAGCCCAGTGACATTTACACATTTGCATTAATACATCTTAAGACTGAAATACCCTGGAGGTGATATAGGGCTGACAGTGGCACATGGCACCACACTCAACATCTGAAGAATGTGATTAGGTGCCTGGCCAGGTACGGAAGCAAGATGAATATGAACTCTCCTAGAGAAGCAACAGAGAGCCAATGTGAGATATTCTTCTTACCTATAGGCAGGTGGGCGGTTGCAGCTTGCCTCCCACTTTAGAAATACATTGGCAAATGCAAGCACATTATTTAATTAAGTAATAATTGAGAAAGCTATAGACCCCATTAAAAACGCAAAGCTAATTTAA